TGCTTCCATCTGGTGTGCTTTTTCTACCCTCACAACCTGGGGAGAGTTTCTGGTTTTATCGGACACATGGCTCCCTCAAGCTCTCCCTCCCTGTCTCTGAGGCTTTGTGCCCACAAAAGGATTTCAGTTTCCTTTGGAGCTCTCCTCCTCCACCCTGAGCTCACTTGAAACAAAATGGCCATGACTCCAGACTCTACTCCTGCTCCATCTCTCAACTGCTTTGCCTTGAAAAGTGCTCTGGATGTGTTGGCTATTTCCAGTTTCATCTTCCTATTCTTCATTCACTCTTCTTTAAGTCAAGTTTATATGTATATTGATGAAAGGACAGAGCTTATTTTTACCACAGCCTTTCATTTTTTGTAAACAGTCTTATACTGTAGTCCAGGCAAGTCTTGGCTCAAGATGCTTTTTTTGCCTCAACCTCCGGTGTGGTGGGACTGAGTATTTCTCAACCTGGGGGTCACAACCCTCTTGCAGATCGAATGACCCTTTCACAGGGGTCACTTAGCAGATATCCTTCATATCAGATATTTGCACTGCGATTCATTACAGCAGCAAAATCACAGCTATGAAGCAGCAGTGAAAATAAGTTTATGGTTGGGGTCACCATGACATGAGAACCTGCATTAAAGGCTCGCAGCATTAGGAACATTGAGAAACACCGGATTTCAGGTGTTTGCCTTTTTTCTTACCCAATTTCTTAACAGTTCTCGGTATTTAGAACACCTGGGACTTTTCTTCTCAGGAAAACCTTGTTTTTTTTTTTTTTTTTTTTCTTTTTTTCCTTGTCTNAGCATGACAGAAGGCAGGCAGGCTTGGTGCTGGAACAATAGTTAAGAGCTTGCATCCTGATCTATGGGAAGTAGAAAGAAGAAAGAGCAAGAAGGGGTCTGGCATGGGCTTTTGACATCCCCAGTGACGCACCTCCTCCAACAAGGCCACTTCGTCTAAACCCTTCCGAAATAGTTTCACCAAATAGGGAGTAAGCATGCAAATACAGGAACCTATTGGGGTTATCCAAGCTACCACATTCCCATTGGAGTCTATGGAGGCTAGTCTCATTCAAACTGCCACACTGACTTACTATGAGATGGAGCTGAAATGGAGCAATACAGGAACCTGCAGAGTGTAGCGTTTTCAGTAGTGAATCTTGTCCATTAATTTATAGGAAAAAAATAAGTGGTCTAGGTAATCTATATCTATATGACTGCATGGTCCAAGTTCTGAAAAAGATGATAAGTTTAAAGACAAAAGCTTTTATAGTAAAGCAGATACACTTAGGGAAATAGGTATGATTACTGAGCATCATTGTCCCAAGTATAGATACCTGCTGAAGACTGTCCACAAAAGGAGAGGTAGAATATCGGCAGACAGAATGAGGTAGTGACTTACTCTACAGTCTTGCCTTTGAACAGCAAGATTGCGGGTAAAAGAGCCATTATAACAATAAAGGTGACCCCCTCCCGGGCACCGCTATACATTATCACTAACCAAGGCACATCCAGTTTCTGCAGCAGCAAAGACCAATGCTGAACCTCCATTATAGACCCATCCATCAAGAAGAGCAATCAACTAATTTGTGGTAAGTTGATTACATTGAACTCCTTTCACCCTACTCCAGGGCAGCAATCAATCCTTACAGAGATTAACGTGTATTTGTCGCCCCTGTAGACAAGCTCTTAGCTTGCACTTCTGTTCCAGTGTTTAGAGTTTTCTTTAGTTCTGCTCTTGTAGGTCCCTATACTATACTATCTCAAACGAAGAACGCACTTTGCAGCGAAGGAGAGACAGAAAGGGCAAGAGACTGTGGAATTCAATGGTTCTAACACACATGGTACAGCCCCAACTTCATCCAGCTAGGCCTGACTTCAAAGTCACTGCGCTCTTTTCTGCTGGCTGCCGTTGAAGGGATTCTGCAAGCCCAAGCACGGCAAGCATGGCTCTGGCGGGCCTTGCCTGTCTCCTCGCTTCTCTCAGCCTTGATAACACCTGCTAAATTACATTCCTAAAGTTAGCCACCAAGCCCTATTCTGTCATTTGGCCACTTCTTCCTTCTGAGGCTGACTACCAAGCTCCAGCTTTCAAAGTATTGAAGGGCAGACATCAAAATCCCCTTAGACTCACCTAACTAAAATGCCGAATTTAAATCGAACACCTCATCCTAAAGCAGGGTTTCCCTTTTGACCTTTTTAACCAACATTCTCCTATGGGCTGGATCTGTCTCCTCTCTATCCAGAGGCAGTCCTTTGTCATCCCCCCACCCCGAGTTCCCTTGCTCCCCCCAAAACAAATATCCCTTTCTTGTCCCTTTTATCCCTGGTTCCTTGTACCCTTCCCTTTGTCCTTCTTCATCTGTCTTCTCTATTTTTTTTTTATCCCTGCCTTCTGTCCCTCTGCGCTGAGAACTTGATTTTGGGGTGCTTTGAGCTGACTTCAAGGTTTCCTACAACCATCATTGCCCTTGGGGTGACTGACGTGTGATTGTCCATAGCTCAACCCTACTTTGATGGAGTCATGTTTTCATGTGGGCATCTCCCCTTGCTCCAGAGCTCTGGCACGTTTCCTACACATTACTTGTTTATTCCATCCATACGGCATCTTGCATGCGATGCCACATAGCTGGCAACTTTAGAACAAGCCTCTTGTTTGCTTTTTGCTTTAGTCTCGTGGACCCGGGCTCTGAGACCCACACTTTCTCCAGGTGAGGGCATAATCAAGAGGCACTGGGGTAGCAGGGCTCTTCCCATTGGCCTCTGGCCTTCTTGTGCCGAGGACTGGGAGGCTCGGCGCTGATAATGAAGAGTGTTCTTTGTGTTTCCTCATTATTTATGCTACATCTGCCTCTCAGCATTTGTGTCAATGAGTCACTATAATTACAGCCGTTGGATAATTCTCTCTGCTTTACAACACACACCCGACTGTGTGAGTGCTGGAGTAGAGAAAGACAACATTGATTTCCATGCGGCACCGTCAGGCGGGAAGGTCCGGGCGCGTTTCAGACAAGGTTACTTGCCAAGTCAAATGAAAGGGCTCTGTTCCTGCTCACCCTTACCGAAGGAGGCCTTGAGGAGCTTGGCTGACTGTGGGCACACAAAGGATCGAAATGAATTCCTTTTTCTATAGAAAAGCCAGAGTGTTGGCTTGGGATCCTGCTTCAAGACAATTTGCAAAACAACCAGCTAAGCTGTCCCTGGAAAGAGTGGAGGGGGCGAGCTGGGCAATGCCAGGCTGTGCTGTCTCATCCCCAGTGAGACACTTCTAGCAAGCAAATGTCTGCTCTGATTCCAAAACAAAAACAAAACAAAACAAAACAAAAAACAAAAAAACAACAACAAAAAAACCCAATGGTATAAATATGTGAAAATGTCATACCAATCTCATTATTTTGTATACAAGACAATGGGGAAATAATTCCTGAAAAGGTAAAACTTAAACAACTAAATCTAAAACATAACAAGGCTCCCTGGGTATCAGAGGCCCAGGTGTCCCGAGATTTTGACCTTTCACCGGGTTCTGGAAAAGGTGGAACGGAAGCAGATACTCCCCGGCACAGAAGACAGCATGTGTCCTGTGAGCCTACTTCATCACAGAAGGAAAAAGCGACCTTGCTTTGTGGTTTTCTCCTCTGATTTATGCCGGGGATGTTTGGAGACTTGAAGCGCCATTTATCATTCTATTTGTGGCTCACAAGGTGAGTGGGGAGACATGGGAAATGCGCGCTCACTTAACTGCGTGCTATGTTTTGTCAAGGAAAACACCCATTCCCATTTGTGCCCTTAGCGCTGTCCTAAAGCACAAGGCTCACAAAACACCCCAAAGTGAACGCGAAGACACGAGGAAGGGGGCACACTGCTCAGGACCTTTGACGATGCTCAGAGATTGGTTGGCTTCTTGCTTATGGGGAAATCAAGGCTTCCTCTCCACTCCTAAACTGAGCGGGCTGACTGTTCCTGACAGTTAAGATCATACAAGCAAAGACCACACATGTCTAGCTGTACTGCTGTTCTTATGTAAATCTACAAAAGTGAGTTACAGACTCGTGGCTATTGTTAAAAAAAAAAAAAAAGCCAACACATTCAGCATGGGAGAATTCGTACACAAGCCCCTCCACTCCTGTTGGTGTGGGAAATGCCTGTGATTTCCCTCCCAACTTTTCATTTTTCTAAAGCAGAACATGTAGTGGAAAGAAAATACATGTCAGAATCCTAATACTCTAAGCTAAAGGGGTAGAGCTGAGCTGTGGGAAAAGCAAAACTCGGATGGGATGATTCCAAGTTATTCTGGAGACACTTCCCAGAAGTGACTCATCCCTAGGCCTTTCCAGCTCTAAGAAACACAGTTCCAAAACCGCTGAAACACTGTCGGGCTCATGAAGGGATAATTGACCGAGCAGTGGGAGCAGTAAGGAGAAGGAAGAAACTGAGTCAGGTCAGTGGAAGCTTCTCTCTGAAGACACACAGTGGGCAGTTGGGGTTGGGATTCAACTCTCAACACAAATATTGGCAGAGGGTTTTCATGACAACTACGAGAGTCCGCCCTGTCTCCAACTCTTATTCCCATGCCTAAGTCCTGGATGGCAATGGTTTCTAGTCCACATATGGCCATGTCTTTGGGATCTAGGGTTGTGTTATGCTTGGTGACACTGAGAATTCTAGATGGGTTAGAAGCATACCAGAAGACCCATTGCAGCGCTGTCTGGAGGACCTTGCTCTGAGTTTTTGGGGCCATACCTCAATCACAAACAGAAATCAAATGCAAAAAAATGAACAACTTTTATGTTTACTGCAGTCAAGTTTATGGTTGAGATCAAAAATAATATCTTCAGAAAGAAACTTTAAGAACCCTGGGCAAATCCCAACATAGGCTTGAGTACTAACACAAAATCTCAGAGTTGAGGAATACAAGATATCCGGAAACATTGAATTAATAACTGACAGAAAGGACAATATTTTTTATTTTCCTACAAAAGTGGCTCAGCATTTTTTCATGGGGAGCAAATGGAAGCTTGTTCGTGTTCATCTTGTTTAGGGAAGGAGTATTCTTCACCACTGAAAAACAAAAAAAAAAATGGCTTTAGCTGGAGTGATACAGATGAAAACGACTCTGAGCAATTTTGCATAATAGCATTTTACACTAAAGAAAATTAGCAGCAAACCACTGACCCTGCCCATTGTCTTTCTCAAGGCTCCAATTTTGCTTCTGGAAAAGGGGGCTGGCTATGGAAAAATGCAAGTGTGACTGGAGAATCAAGCCTTTTCATCTCTCACGGGATAGTGTCCTTTATCGGGACATTCTTGGTGGATAAATATGTAAATTATTATGCAAAGCAGATTGGAGTAATTCAAATTGACAGTTGCCCCATTTAAAAAAAATATCAAAATGTGCAAGGCTTGAAATGTGTCTCCTGACAACAAAGGGGATTCTTGTTAAAAATCAACATCATTTGGTGTTGATTTTCACATGTATTTAAAGCAGAACCAATCTTCTTCTTTGTCTATTCTAAAACTGTTTTTCCTCCACCAACTTATTCCATCATGATAGATTCAAGGGAAAATTTAAATTTTAGTGATATGGATAGCAGCAACATGGATTATTTCCGTTGCACTTCTAAGAACTCTAAAGCTTCTTCAAGGCAGGAGAGGGATAGGCAGGACTGGCAGACAGAGAGAATAAGTAGGAAAGAAAATCTCAGCAGAAAGGAGGAGGAAAAGGAGGAGGAGGAAGAGAAGAACATACCAGGGTCAAACAGACCCAAGAAGCAGTGAAAGTAATATATATATATATATATATGTAATATATGCAGAAGCAAGAAAAGTAGAAAAGGTAGATAAAGAAAAAAAGGTGAATTTAAGTTCAAAGAGCCTAAGAAATGAACCTAATCCAGACAGAGCATTCACAGCTAAGAAGTCTCTGGGACTTGATTTAGCAGCTGGCTGGTGACCCAAGAGAAAAAGCCTGGTACTGGTGACCAGTTAGGCATCCATAGCTCCCAACTACTGTCTAAGGAAGAGTGAGAGGGCATTGCGTCACCACCCTCTGCTGTTGAGCCATCCCTGATCCATCAGAAGCCTTGCTTCCATCTGGTGTGCTTTTTCTACCCTCACAACCTGGGGAGAGTTTCTGGTTTTATCGGACGCATGGCTCCCTCAAGCTCTCCCTCCCTGTCTCTGAGGCTTTGTGCCCACAAAAGGATTTCTGTTTCCTTTGGAGCTCTCCTCCTCCACCCTGAGCTCACTTGAAACAAAATGGCCATGACTCCAGACTCTACTCCTGCTCCATCTCTCAACTGCTTTGCCTTGAAACGTGCTCTGGATGTGTTGGCTATTTCCAGTTTCATCTTCCTATTCTTCATTCACTCTTCTTTAAGTCAAGTTTATATGTATATTGATGAAAGGACAGAGCTTATTTTTACCACAGCCTTTCATTTTTTGTAAACAGTCTTATACTGTAGTCCAGGCAAGTCTTGGCTCAAGATGCTTTTTTTGCCTCAACCTCCGGTGTGGTGGGACTGAGTATTTCTCAACCTGGGGGTCACAACCCTCTTGCAGATCGAATGACCCTTTCACAGGGGTCACTTAGCAGATATCCTTCATATCAGATATTTGCACTGCGATTCATTACAGCAGCAAAATCACAGCTATNCGCCTCAGGCTAAAGTTCTCCTATAAAATTGGTGAGCGTGCTCCCAGCGCTCTCTTCTGCTTTCCTGGTCTCCGCGGGAACAGTGGTTCTGTAAGTCTATTCCTCCATTAAAGCTGTCTATATTTTGACAATCTGTCTGCATTCGCTTACGCCGTTACATCCTACCCAATTTCTTAACAGTTCTCGGTATTTAGAACACCTGGGACTTTTCTTCTCAGGAAAACCTTGTTGTTTTTTTTTTTTTTTTTTCCTTGTCTTTTCCAAGCCTACATGCTGGCATCCTCCAGGCTTCCCTCCCTAGACATCCTTTCCTGTATGACCATAAACTCTCATGGATTTGAACATGGTCTCTGTGCTGATGATACCTTCAACTCTTTCTTTCTGAGTCCAATCTTACAGCTCAATTCCAGACTCATTCCATGGCTTGCTTGCTTTCGCCAGTTGGTTACCACAAACTTATGAAGCCAGAAATAAACCACCACAACACACAAAACTATTAAATAACTAAATGAAAACATGAGGTCACCATATGTAGTCCAGGCCGGCCTAGGAATTTTGATCTTCCTGCTTCTGCTTTCCTGGTGCTGGGATTATAGGAATGTCATACCATGCCTGGCCAGAGAGTAACTATCAATTCTCTTCAGCTCTCATACCCAGCATAAACTCTGTAATTTTTTTGTTGAGACAGGGTCTCTCTGTGCTACCCAAGCATCTCAAACTTCTAACCTTACGTGGTTGTTCTGCCTCTGCCTCCTGAAAAGTTGACCTCCAGATGCACACTGTGCTGCTTGAGTTTATGACACCATCTTCTTTTATCTTAGTAAACATAATTCTTACTTATCTAGTGACTAGTGATGTGGGATTCCCTTCTGTATGCTATAAATATGTTTTATTACCATTGGTTATTAATGAAGCTATTTCGGCCAATGGATTAGTGGAGTAAAGCCAGGCAGGAAATCCGAACAGAGATATAGAAAGAAAGCAGGCAGAGTCAGAAGATGCCATGATGTAGCTGCTGAAGGAGAAAGAAATCAGCCATCAGCCAGAACCGTGGTGATTCACAGATGAATAGAAATAGGTTAATTTAAGATGGAAGAGTTAGCTAGAAAAATGCATAGCCTATTGGCCAAACAGTGTTGTAATTAATATAGTTTCTGTGTTATTATTTAAGACTGGGCAACCAGAAAATGAACGAACAGTCTCCGCCTACAGACTAGGATAAAAATCTGATCTTTAACAGATCACGTGGTTTCCATTACACACTTAATATGTCCCATTAAGGGATTCCATCTACAATGTTTACTGGAAGTTCAACTTTTCTGCTTCCTTTGGAATCAGAAATATTATTTGCCGATTCACCACTTGAGCAGACTCCTGTGCTGTGTCCTACTTCACAGTGTTTGAAGTCAAATAAATGTTTTTTTTTTACTATGATTAACCCAGATCCTACATGATTTAGTCCTTGCCTGCTTCTCAGCCCTGTAGCCCCACACTTTCTCTGATACTCTTTGTTCTTATTAACTTGGTTTTGTTCCCCCAGCTCCTGGCAGCTGCTTCTCCATGTTAAAAGTAGCTGTACTAGGCCAATGCAGCCAGCAAGAGTCATGGAATGTCCCCTGCCCTGTTAGTTTTCCTTGTTTGTGTTCTTTTTAACTTACTGTAGTTCTTAATGTCCCCAAAGAGTATCATTTTTTAAAAAACACCCGTCATTTATCGCCTCCTACCTGAAATATTATTTGTTTTTTTTTTTCTGACAGTTAGAGTAAATCTGGTACAAAGTATGTGATGAATAGATACTTGATAAAGAATGTAATTATCATTCCTAGAAACTCCTATTAAAATGTCCCAACATATGTGAGATGTACAGATGACATATCTACCTATGCCCTGAAAGGAGAAGTTTAAACATAGATAGCACAAAGCAACTCTTTCTATTAGCATAATTTTTATTGATTCTTTGTGAATTCACATCATGCTCACCACCCCACTCCTTTCTCAGTCCCTCCATATCTGCCCTTCACCCTTGCGGTGTCTCCCCCTGATGAGAAACTAAAAAAGAAATAATAAAAATAAGACAAAAAATTAAAAACACAAAACACATGGTTCGCATGGGCCCCTGTGGTAACACTGCAGTGGGCATCAACACAGATGCCAGCTGTGGCAGGACCACAGACCCAGACATAGCCAGCCACAGCAGCTTGAGCCCAGATGTCACTGTGGCCCTGGGAAGCAGCACAGGGCTCTCAGATCAGCATAGGATCAGCAGCAATGAGGTCCCCGACTTTAACATGTCTCTAGGTGGCAGCCCGGACCCTGCACAGTCACAGTGCCTTCTATGGTAACAGGAGCCAAAGACCCCAACAAAGACCCTGAATGCAGTAGGGCCACTGACCCAGGCATGGCCCACAGATCCAGGCATGGCCCATGTCTGTAGTTCAGGCCCTAGATGTCAACTTGGCCACAGTTCAGGCCACCCTGATGTGTATGAACCTTGCAAGAGCATGACCCTTGGGCGGCCTCAGCTGTTGGCCTAAACCGGGGGCATCTACGTTGCCTTTAGTGGTAACTGGAGCCACAGACATCAACGCAGATCCTGGCTACCCCACGGTCACCAATTCAGACATGGCCCAGGCAGTAGCCTGTCCCTCAGACCCCAGCATGGTCACAGGTGGCAGACTAGAAGCCAGATATCCAGTGGCCTTTGGTGCCAATACAGGCCATAAACACAAACCCTGGTTTTGGTAGGACCATGGACATAGACATGATCCTTGGCAGTATCCCAGGCCCAGATATCACCATGGTCCCAGGTGGCTGCACAGGCCACTCAGATCAGCATCAACCGACTGCAAGGTAGCCCTCAGATAACATCAAGTACCCAGGTGGCCACCCAGCATCAGGCATCAACATGGCCTTCATAGGTACCAGGAGTCATGGATATCAGTACAGACTCTGGCTGAGCTATAGCTATGGACCCAGAAATGGCTCTAGGCCACAGATTAGGCCTGGGTGTCACCATGGCCCTGGGTGGCAGCACAGAGCACGAACATCTGTATGGCCCTGGCAGCATGACCCTCAGATGTCAACATGCCCTCAGATGTCTGACCAGACTCCAGGCATCTGTACAGCCTTCAGTGGTAACAGGAGTCAAGGAAAACAGCACAAGCTATGGCTGTGGTAGAGCCATGGACTCAGACATTGCCCTTGGCAGCAGCCCAGGACTGATGTCACAGTGGCCCTGGTGGCAAGCTGGCCACCATTATCTTCTCCTCTTCAGATCTGCCTGTTTCTACAGGACATAAGCCTCTCTCTCTCTCTCTCTCTCTCTCTCTCTCTCTCTCTCTCTCTCTCTCACACACACACACACACACACACCTTACTATATATTTGCTCACCATTATCAGGCAGGCCATAGTTTCTTCTCCCCTCCTAAGGCAAACAGCTCTGGTGGACATGTGTGTGTCTATCTCTGCTTACTCAGTCCTCATGGTGCCCATCCAGGAGGCTCACGGTTTCTTCTCCAGGCCTAGGGTAAACGGCTCTAGGTGGGTGAAAACAAATGTTAATAAATACAGGAGAGCTTAGACTTGTAAAACAAACAAACAAACAAAATCAAAACAAACTGTTGTGATAGGAGCGGTGGGGCTACGTCCCCTGCACCCGGCCGCCCACATGGCTAGCTTATGCCCGAAATAATTACACGGAAACTGTATTCTTTTAAAACACTGCCTGGCCCAGCTAGTTCCAGTTTCTTATTGGCTAGCTCTTACATATTAATCTAACCCATTTCTAATATTCTGTGTAGCCCATGAAGTGGCTTACCAGGGAGAATCTTAACCTGCGTCTGTCTGGAGTCGGAGAACCATGGCGACTCTTTGATTCAGCTTCTTTTTCCCAGCATTCTCTTCTGTTTACTCCACCTACCTAATTTTCTGTCCTATGAGGGCCGAGGCAGTTTCTTTATTATTAACCAATGAAAGCAACAGATAAGATACAAGACCCACCTCCATCAACAAACAACAAGAAACTGAACCTCACGCGGCAATATGCATTGGGTGCTTTTCTGTCGCACCAGTTTGACTCACGTGGCAGACACTGACTAAACGTACAACCGATGGGTAGATACAGCAATGGCAGCACCAGGCTTTACCCCTTCCTTCCCATTCCTCCCAAAGCGTATTCTTCAAAGTGCTTTGGATTGGCATTGGACAGCCTCTAGGGAGAAGCGCAGTGGGCACAGCTACGTGCAACAATGCCTCTCAAAGCTGTAGGCTTTGCCTTTATCACTCTAAGTAAATAATAAGACAGGGACATGAAAGGGCTCTATGGGAATCCTTACCACAGAATGGGGTAAATGGTGGCAGCTAACAGAGTCATGCCTCAACTAAATTTCCCCAGGCTCTTATATAAGACAAACATGAAATTGTCATTTTTATGAGCATGGAAATACATTTCTTTTTTCTTTCTTTCTTTCTTCTTGCATATTTTTTTAGTTTCATGAACATTTTTCATATATTTGATCATGCTTGTGCTCACCCACCTCCTCCCAGGTACTCCTTCCCCTCCTCCTCACTCACTTCCATGTTCATTTACTCATTCTTTTAAAAAAAAAACTCACAAAAACAAAAATTAAAACAAACAGACAAAAAAATGCCAAGAAAGACTTGTACACATTCAAGTCATATGGAGCCCTAGCACTAGGGGGAGGAAGGGGATTTGGGGTCCCACTCCTAATGAAGAAGCTGTTTGCAATGGATAGCTGTTGGCAAAGAGAAAAATCAGTTTTCCCCAGTGGCCTGTCCCTCGTAGATCAAACACACTCCAGAGCAGGCAGGCCCCATGCCCAGCAATAGTTAGCTAACTCAAAGTGAACTCCATGGCGTTTTTGTTTGGGAGGGCAGCTATTTTTATAGTTTTAACTAGAAAACTTCCCTGTAACACTACTGACCTGTAGACAACTGTCCAAGCTGCTTCCAGCTCCCAGCAGAACCATAGCATCTTTAGGAGTTTCTGTTTCCACTGTTTAGGATGAGCTGCCACTGTTTCTTGACTCAGATTTCAGGGATAAATTGGAAACATTCATTCCCCTTTACCATGGGACACCCCTCTACGGCAGGGTTTTCTTTTGATATTTATCCTTTTCTTTCATCAATGCTGTGAACCAGTGCTGCACTTTTCTGAGAATGGGTGTTAATTGCACAAGGAGGTTGCAACCAGGGTCCTTCCTAGGAAGTGTGGCTGAGCACTCTGTGAGGAGTCTACAGAGTAGAGCTGTGTGTGTGTCTTCTGTGAGGAAACCCCAGAGTCCCATGCACTTGGAGAGCACAGTGAGCATCCAGGAGGCTGACGGGGCTCAACAGTCTTGTCATAGAAAGACCATGAGATGGTGGTCACTTGTCCCCATCTTCCTCCCATACAGGAATAACCAACTCAGATTCAGGGTTATCTATTAGCTTGCCGTAGGGTGATCCTGGGCACACCAACACCATTATCAGTGCCATTTTTGGTAAGTCTGCGTACACATGTTGTACTGTATCAGTATAACAGTCTTTGTTGGAAATGACCAGGTGGACGCAAAACACAGGTTAGTGACGAAGAAACCAGCATGTCCTTATAGGGTCTTCAGTTTGAAGGACAGGAAGGGATAGAGAAGAATTACATAATTAAATAGTAATAGTAACACGTTCATAGAGCAGTTTAGAATTTTGAAAGCTTATCTACATAATACCTCTGAAAACCTGAAGACCATGACACAAGCTACTACCCAAGTAAGGGCTCAACATTTTCCAATGGTCCAGGAAGTAGAGGTTGATCTGAGTGAGGGACCAAGGGAAAATGTTAAGGGGACAAGAAGTTAAGTGACAAGGGTCCTAAGCGGGGTTGCTGCACAGGCGCCACTACCGCAGATCATCCAAAGCTGGGAGAAAGGTGCGGATTTCCTAAGGCAGATTCAGCTTTAATCATGGCCACTGATTCTCAGGGCTGCAGCGGTGAAGCAACTGAAGGCATCTGCTCCAACGGCGAAGAAGGCATGAGGTCCCGCTTACTGTGGTAGTGAAGATTGAGGTAGAACACAACAGTACAAAGGACTCCGTGCTAGCTTTATTATGTAAGAGCCAAAGTTAACTTGCAAGTCCCACTTGCCCAAGGACAGGTAACTTTCTGGAACTGTGGGGGCTGTGGCTAGGCACTCAGGCATTAACAAGCCACAGATTTTGCTCTAGCAGGCAAATCTGTTCAAATCCAAAGCACTTGACTGGATGTGGGTAGGAGGTGTACAGGCAGGAAATACATCAGGATGTGTGCTTGGCCCTGACTGGACCTGATGGAAAATATGGTGGCCTAGTGGTCTTGCCCTTTCAAGCCTCTGCAAAACACGGCTGTTTTCTGGGAACCCAGAAATCGACTTGGCCAGAATCCAGGATCCTGGCCAGTATTTAATTAAAGCTTGCCTCAATTTGGCGCAAAAACTGTGGAATTGGTCTTTCTCTCACAGTGGTCAGGATTAACAACAACTCCAGGTACCTTGGGAAAGTATTCTTAGGAATGCAGGTTTTTCTCCAGAAACACCTTTGTCTTTGTCTTTAGTGTCTTAAGATTAAAGACATCTAACGATCAAAGAAATCTGGACTGCTTACGGCTCAGGGGGTAAGGCACTTGCTGTTCGGGTGTGAGGACCCAAGTTTGCATCCCTGAAACCCATGTCTTCTGGGTGTTACCAAGGTGGATGGGAGGCAGGGACTGGAGGATCCCTGGAAGTGCAGGGGTCACTGGGCAATGCAGTAACAAATCAACAAAGAAACTCCATTCTTAAACAAGGTAAGTAAATATCAACCCCTGAAGGTGCATTCTGATCTACACACACACACACACACACACACGTTTGTTTGTTTTAAAAGATTGAAGAAATTAGAACGTTTATTTAATTTAAATAGAAGAATTTAATCTACTCACCTGCATTGCTCTATACTGAAAAAAACAGGCCTGTCTTGCCTTATTGATGCTCTGTTCCTTTGCTTGTGAGTTCTGGTTCCCATCTATTGCTGAGTTGAATGGTGGCAGCTGTGGAAGGAGCCCCTTGGAAAATAGCCATCTTTTTCCCAAAGGGCCAAGGCCTCTGAGCTGTGCCCTGTTCTGGTTTGCCCCTTTCCTCCCTGGAAGCCAGGCATTTTTTCTTGTGCAGCCCATATTTTCACATTGACTCCAGCAAAAAAAAACTTTCCTTCAGCTATTAGATCTGGGGAAAAATGAACATCTATTTCCCAATCCAATCTCACCCTCCAGAGAAATGCTGCATATCTGACTATTTTTGTAATAACATAGTAATAGAAAAGAGTCTCAATTGACTATCTACTAAGAGTTTTTGAGGTGAGGATATTAATCCACACACCTTGAACACCTGATTTTTAACAAAGAAGGAAAAAAAACCATATTTAACAAATGGTGCTGGCATAACTGAATATCAACATGTAAGAGAATGAACATAGATCCATATCTATCACCATGCACAAAACCCAAGTCCAAATAGATCAAAGACCTCAACAAAAGTCAGCCACACTGAACCTTATAGGAGAGAAAGTGAGAAGTACACTTGAACGCATTGGCACAGGAGACCACTTTCTAAATATAACCCCAGCAGCACAGACCCTGAGAGAAACAATTAATAAATGGGAACACCTGAAACTGAAAAGCTTCTGTAAAGCAAAGGACATGGATAACAAGACAAAATGACAGCCTACAGAATAGTAAAGAAAAGGTCTTTACTAACCCCACATCAGACAGAGGTCTGATCTCCAAAATATACAAAGAACTCAAGAAATTGGACACCAAAAGAACAAATAATCCAATAAAAAAAATGGAGTACAGATCTAAATAGAGAACTCTCAACAGAGGAATCTAAATGGCTGAAAGACACATAAGGAAACGCTCAACATTCTTAGTCATCAATGAAATGCAAATCAAAACAATTCTGAGATTCCATCTTAACACATGTAAGAATGGCCAAGATCAAAAACACTGATGACAACTTATGCTGGAGAGGATGTGGGGTAAAGGGAACACTTCTGCATTGCTGGTGGGAATGCAAGCTGGTACAGCCCCTTTGAATATCAGTGTGGCAGTTTCTCAGAAAATTAGGAAACAACCTTCCTCAAGACCCAATAATACCACTTTTGGGTATATATCCAAAGGATGCTCAGTAGTGCCACAAGGACATGTGCTAATCTATGTTCATAGCAGCATTGTTTGTCATAGCCAGAATCTGGAAACAACCTAAATGCCCCTCAAACAAAGAATGGATAAAGAAAATGTGGTACATTTACACAATGGAGTACTACACAGCAGAAAAAAATAACGACATCTTGAATTTTGCAGACAAATGGATGGAGCTAGCAAACATCATTTTGAGTGAGGTAACCTAGACCCAGAAAGACAATTATCACATGTACTCACTCATAAGTGGTTTTTAAACAGAAAGCAAAGAAAACCAGTCTACAAATCACAATCCCAGAGAACCAAGACAGCAATGAGGACCCTAAGAGAGACATACATGGATCTAATCTACATGGGAAGTAGAAAAGGACAATATCTCCAGAGTAAATTGGGAGCATGGGGACCTTGGGAGAAAGGTAGAGGGGAGGAGAGGCAGGGAGGAGCAGAGAAAAATGTAGAGCTCAATAAAAATCAATAAAATTAATAAAAAAGAAAAAACTCTATCAAATCAAGTCATTGTAGTATGACTTGTAGTATTTAATATGTAAATTGTGTTGCTATGCATAAAATAAAGTGCTATATGATTACTTAGAAGAATATTAGTCATGGAAAATCAATCATAAAATTCTTAAGACTAGACTATTCAAACATATTTATTGTAAAGTTAAAAAAGTTTTTCTGATGAAAACAGAGGTTTGAAGCATTGCTACACCCTTAGGAGACCTTAAAGCTACATGTTAAACTCCTTAGATAGTGGCTGTCTGTTCCAAGGGTAGAGTGGAATGTGTTGAATTTAGATCTAGATCGGTATGAGAAGAATTCTAAGCTTTGGCATTCCTGAGGAAAGACAAATAAATTGATGAGGGTCCCATTGTGGTGAGGTGAAGGGCGTACTTCTGTCTGTCATAAATAAGTCCTCAGTGCATTTCCTTCTATCAAAAGATAAAATTACACACATCTAATTAAAAAAGAGATTTTATTTGTGATTCTAGCCTTGGGCAACAGCTCATCTAACAAAACAGACCAGGTTTCTAGTGAATGACATCTAGGAGCTCCTATTGGCAGAAAAGAACCTAAGGACAGAAAAAAATGCACGCACTAGCAGACCACTTGTCTCTAAGTGACATTCTTATAAAGCACAGGGGACTTCCTTGGCCACCACCTCAATCAAAAGATTTCTGTGGCTCTCTTAATTTCAGAAAGCTGACCAGACTCGAAGTCTTGTTTGATTACTTGACGCTTACTACAAAGCAGCTCCAGTTCTGGTTTGATCTGGTTTGCTGAGGCCCGATGAGGGATAGGGATGCTAGGCCCAAGTCTAAGTTCTAGTTAACATTTTTGATATACCTTTCCTGTTCTGTGACTTGGAGGGTAGTAATTCAAATGTTATATGGCTAAATAGGACATGGCAGACATCCTACACAGTGTACAACAGATAATTCAAAATTCATTAACATGTTGTATGTGTGTATGTGTGTGTATTCACAACAAAAGTTGTAAGTGTATCCTCCTTCCAAAAAGTCAGCCCTGTGATTGTGATGCCTTGAATAGGGATTGGCCTCTCTGAGATTCAATAATGGGCCATCCTTGAGCAAAACTAACAAACATCTGAAGAATGGGTTTAAAAATCTATGGAAACCACTTTGAGAAAGGTGCTACGATGCATACCTTGGTCTGTCATAGTTACATTTTGTGCTTTTATTAAGAGGTTATTAAGCGAAAGACATCTGGACTATTTGTTTTTTTCTTTCTTTTTCTGCGTGATGTGTGTGTGTGTATGCTTGTTAGAATGGGAGTTCACATCTGCATATGGCTGTGCATGAACATGGGTTCATCCATGTGGAAGTTTGCTTTTCGATATCTTCCTTGATTAGCTTCTAATTTACTTATTATGGTAGCATCTTTTGCTGAACCCAGAGCTCAACAATTATGTCCAGTGTAGATAGCCGTCTTGCTCTGTTTCCACTGTCTCTGCCTCCTGCATGCTGGGATTGCAGACAGCTGTGCCATACATGCCCAACTTTTACAGGGATTCTGGGACTCTGAAGTCCAGCCCTCACATCCTTGGTGAGCACTGTATCCATGCACTGAGCTCTCTTCCCAGATCTTCATTATCTTTTTGATATATCTACAGTGCAGCACAGTGTTACTGAATTAATAAAGCAACCTGGCAAGCCAGACTCGGATCCTGGTTTATTGGATAATGTAGTAATAAGTGCAGCGGGGCTGCGTCCCCAGCACCCCAGCCGCCTGCTAGCTTATGCCCGAAATAACAACACACAAACTGTATTCATTTAAAGACTGCTTGGCCCATTTCTATCTAGCCTCTTCTCGGCTAACTCTCGCACCTGGACTAGCCCATTTCTAATAATGTATGTAAGCACCCCAAGGTGCGCTTACCGGGAAGATTCTAGCCTATGTCCATCCTGGGTCCGAGCTTCATCGCGTGTGCCTCTGAGAGCAGAGCTATCTCGCTCTTTCTGAGGAGTCTTACCTCCTTCCTCTTCCTCCTGTTTACTCCTCCCACCTATGTTTTAACCTATCAGGGCAAGCAGTTTCTTTATTAATTAACCAATGAAATCAACAGATTGATATATGACACTCCCACATCAGGATAATGTCATTACTTTCTTCTAAGCAGAAGACCAACAAAACCATGATGAACAGAGAGCAAAGTAATCAAGCGCATTTGGGTCTACTATCAACTTCGCCCCTTGAAGGAAATATCAAATTAAGGAGCTATTTTAGATTCATATAGCAACTCAATGAGAACAAAGGGGATCTATGAAGAAGAAAGAAACGGGGAAAAGATAATAGTCTAACTAGTAAGTGCTGTATCACCTCCCAGGAATGAGGCACCTGCGCGCTGAGAGCAGGACCTATAGATCACTCACAGATCACACCAAGAAATGCTCCAGGTACTCCACAGTGACCTATCAACTATTCTAGAGTCCCCAACGGTAGATCTTATGTGTCAGTATGGTACCCTGAGACTGGTTGTCCTGCTTTAATGGTGAGATAAACACAATGATCTAACTTATCACATAGCTGGCACAACACCCCAAATCGCTGAGAGCTGGTGAGAAAGAACAGATGTCAGGAATTTACAGGTCTGTTCTGGCCTTCAAGTAGGAAATATTTGATCTTTTCTTTCATATGAATCACTGATAAAAGAGAATTATAAAAAAATAGATCCTACCACATGAACATTTCTGTTGCTTATATCTAGTGACATAGAAATGAGATCCACAAATCCCTTTACCCTTTAGAATCTTACATAAATAGCTACTTCGTATTAGATATTGAAATTTAAATATAATTATTCACTTAACAACCCCCTGGAAATGCGTCTTTTACAAACTGCCTTTGGGTAGTGACCTTAAGATGGTTCTTTAAAAGGAGAAAACCCAACAAGACTTGAAAAACAGGAAAATACAGCGGTCCCATCTCACTAGTCTCAGGCAGTGTTCCCTTCCACTGTCTCAGGTTCAGACCCCTGAGTCAAGAAAGTCAGAAAGCTGAGCTTATCCCTGCAGAGAAAACTGTGATATTCCAACCTTTCCCT